TTAATCCCATAAGTGGGGTCGGCTAACATGAACCAAATTTAATTATTCCGTGTAGTCATCAACATAAATCTTCCTCCTCCATCCCTTACGATCAATGCTTCATCCTCATGCACATCCGGACACTTCATATCCTTCCTAACTCCTTCCAACCAAGTCATTTTCGGTCTACCTCTCCCTCGTTTAACCCCTCCATGGTCCCACTCTTCGCACCGGTGCACCTTCAGGTCTCCGTCTTACATGCCCAAACCAACGCAGGCGATTTTCCCTTAGTCTATGTGCAATGCCTGCCACACCTACTTTCTTGCGAATAATCTCATTTTTTATTCTATATCTTAGAGTGTTCCCACACATCCAACTTAACATGCGCATTTCTATAACCTCCATCTTTTTAATGTGCTTCTTCTTAGAAACCCAACATTCTGTACCATAGAGCAACACTGGCGTAGAATTTTCCCTTCAGGTGTAAGGGAATGCTTCGGTCGCATAACACTCCCGTGGCCGCTCTCTATTTAAGCCACACCGACTTAATCCCGTGGGCCACGTCTTGATCAATGTCACCATTCTTGTGGATGATCGACCCTAGATAGTTAAAACATTCACTCATAGTCAAATCCTTTCCATCCAAACTCACCACTTCATTGCTTGTCCCCCTCTGAGTACCAAAACGACATACCAAATACTCGATCTTACTCTGACTTAGCTTAAACCCTCTAGATTCCAACATTTGCCTCCATTGCTCCAACTTGGCATTAACCCCAACCTTAGTTTCATCCACCAAAATAATATCATCTGCGAACAACATAAACCATGGAACCTCATCTTGAATTGGTCTACTTACTTCATCTACAACCATTGCAAAAAGAAAAGGGCTTAATGCAGACCCTTGATGCAATCCGATTGTAATAGGGAAATCTTTTGTCAACCCTCCACATATCCTCACATTTGTTGACACATCCCGATATATATTCTTAACCAGGTCCACGTACCTTCGTGGGATACCTTTCTTCAACATTGTCCACCAAAGTACCTCTCTTGGCATCTTGTCATAAGCCTTCTCTAAATCAATAAAGACCATATGAAAATCATTCTTCTTTGCCCTATAAAATTCCATCATTTGTCTTATTAAATGGTATCTCCCTGGCATAAAACCAAACTAGTTATCTGTAATGCTTGTGTATGCTCTCAACCTATGTTCAATCACCCTTACCCACAACTTCATAATGTGGCTCATAAGCTTGATCCCTTGATAGTTAGAACAATCTTGAGCGTCTCCTTTGTTTTTATAGACCGGGACCAAGGTGCTCTTCCTCCAATCTTGCGGGATCCTTGTAGCCGTCCATATCTTGTTGAAAAGGTCTGTTAACCAATCAATACCAATCTTACCCAAACACCTCCACACCTCTATCGGTACACCATCAGCGCCAACCGCCTTGTTAGGCTTCATCTTCTTCGGTGCAATCTCCACCTCTACTCTCCTAATCCTCCGCACATACTCCATGTTGATTTCTTCATCACACACGGAGGTATCTCCTATCACAACTCCATTACTTCCATTAAACAATTCATCGAAGTAACCCTTCCACCTGTCTTTGTCTTTGATGTCCTCCTCTTGTACTAGGACCATTGGTTCTTATCTTTGACACACTTCACCATGCCAATATCATTTCTTGCCTCTTGTCTTCTCTTTGCCATCTTATAAATAATCTTTTCTCCCTCCTTGGAGTCAAGCTTTACCTATTTTGCTAATATCGAGACCCCTTGGGAAATTTTAGAAACTTTTTAAAATTAATTTTATACACAATATGATTGTGTGGGCAAATGAAATTATGTGGTTACCTGCTACGTGGAAATTCCAAATATAACTTGGATTGGCTGGTTACAATGCAGTATTATCAAAATATAGGAACTGTAAGATTCAGGGATGCAAAGAATAAGAATAACTGAGCTCTTAATGCTACTGTGCTTCAATGAAGCCATTACTATACTCATACAACTAAACAATCAGTGTTGTGTGGTAAAGCCTAGGCTTTGGAATCAAAGTAAGCCAAACCTCACTACCACATGTCCACATTGTATTGTAATTTACAAAATCATGCAGTTGATAATGAAAATTGAAGATCTAGAGGTGAAGTGGTGCTATTGAAAGACTACAGATCACCCTCCAAACCGTACATATGACTTTGAAGCCTCAAAGGCCACAAGGAAGCTCAAAGTCGGCTAAGTTGGTTGGGATCGAGTAAAATGAGTATTCCAGGAGTCCAGCCTCCCATATCTCTGTCAGCTTTTCAAGCCACACCTGAGCCTTCTTAAATCATTCCTAGATGAGACAAGCCAAGCACAGTCTTGGCTCAGGACAAACTATGCTTGCAAAACTTTTAGACAGAAGTGTATAAACATCTCCCCTATACTACGTATTACAATAGAACTATTTTCGCAGTCTCCTCACTTTCCAGAATATTTTTTCGAATAATAAAAGAGAGCTTATTTCTCCTCTTAATTAAACCAGCGTGATCAGGGTGGCTTGGGCAAAGAGCACAGGCATTGAAGAAAATGGGACTGTATTAAAATATGACTATCTAGTACCAATCAAAATGTCCATCAAATTCACATCTATCAGCACATACACATAAATTCTCAGGTCTAACCATATGCAATACAAATTTACAAATGTATTGAAGTATCAACCAAAAGCAGCACGGAATTCTAAGCCTTTCACCAACTAGTGATATTGTAAAGTGCAGTTCTCTGTCTTTCTAATCTATTCCTTCCCAATAAAATTCTAACATAACAGTTTCAACTTTATTGCCAAATCACAGTTTAATTAAGTTAAACACGCAATAATTGATGCAGAAAGGCGCAAAGTCCATCAAAAGAAATATTAAAATCAAATACAACAACATGATCAAAGAAAAATATGTCCCACAACAAGAATCTTCCTTTAACTCAAAAAAAGAACATACCACAAATAAGAATCTTCCTTTACCACAAGAATCTATAAAGGCAAAATCTCAATAATGTTCACTCACCGGATCTCTATATACCGGAAAAACAGGAATCTCTTCTCGATTCAAAAAAGTTGCTTCCGCCACCACTGGCCCTGTTAATTAAATAATTTAAAGAAAACAACATTAGCTTAATTAATAATTACAAAATTACACACTAAATTAACTTGATCATCATCAAATAAACTATTTCTTTCTTGAAAAATATTCGATTACCTGGTTTCACAACATGACGATTAGTAAGAATAATTCCGCGACGCTTATCGACGACGAAACCAGTAGCATAACCAGCACTAGCAGATTCAGTATCGAAAGCGCGACAAGCAGTAGTACGAAGAACAACAACAGCAGGTACAACGTTGTTCAGTGCTTTCCTCCAATCTTCAGCAGTTGCAGTATTTTCACTAATCGGAGGATCAATTTCCATGCAAAGTTCACTTTTAATTGTCGATTCTAATCCAGCTGAAACTCCCTCTGATCCTAATCTTTCCAGTTGATCTCCCATTTTTCCGACGAATTTGATTAATCAATTGATTGATTAATCGAATAATCAGATGGTTTGGGAGGAATTTGGGAATTAGGGTTTAGAGGAGAGAGAAAATGAGGAAGATGGAAAGTGAGAAAGTCTGACTGAGTTGAAGAAATGATATTTTTGTTGTGTTTTTGGGGAAGATGATTTGGATTAGAGAGTAGTATTTATAGTTTGAAGTAAACTGGGTTCAACGGAAAGTTGACTAAAGTCTTTGGTTTCACGACGAGTTTTCCGGCGATTTCTTTTTCGGTTTTTTATTAAGCAAAATGGAAGACTAATTGACCACTCCTCGTGAGAAAGAAAATGTTTATGTGATTGGATTAGATTGGTTACATTGGTCAGGTGACTTGGATTAGAAACATCTAATACTTAGGTCGAATGATTTGTTATATTTAATTATACTGGATTAGATTGGTCTAGTGACTTAGATTAGGAACATCTAATGCTTAGGTGTATATCGATATGATTTCTTTGGACTTCATAGTCTATTACAATTTTCTTTGAGGTAATTAAGTATTGTTGAAAAATAAAAAAATGATGGAGGGAAGCAATAAATAGGATTGCTAGTGATGGCGGAATTTGTTAAGATTTTGAGATTAGTTTTTATACTAAAGAATTGATTATTAGCTGTATTGACTAACAATTTAACATATTATAAACACCAAAAAAAAAAAACAAAAAACAAAAAAACAATTTAACATATTATTTGTTGTGATAACCCTAACTAATAGGTAAATATGTTAAATAAAAAAAAAAATCATGTAAATAATTAATATTTATTAGTCATACTTAAATAATATTGTATGGATTACAACATTTGTTTAAAAGGCAAATTTATGAAGAAAAAAAAAATTGCTTTTAAGTCAATATGTGAACTAGTACCTTAAATACTTTTTTTTGTATCAATTAATAACTTGAATTAAATTTTATTTTAAAAATAGGCACCTTAATGGCAAATTTCAGCCAAAAACTCAAGTTTAGAAATCTATTATTAAGGTGCCATTTAAAAAAAATAAAAAAAAAAATTACAATAAGGTATTAGTTCACAACTTGACTTAAAACAAGGTTTTCACTTTTTTCTGACAATTTTGATTTGTTTGTATATCCTAAAATTTGGAACATTTTGACCATAATAATTTATATTATGCACCCGAAAACACTATGCTTTTTGTGCACCTTGTATTAGAAAAATAACATTAATAATTGCATTTTGATTGTTACACTCAAACTGCACAAAGTTGACAGTAATATATACTTTTATTTATTTTCTAAAATACGAAGCTAATTTTGCTCCAATAAGCTATCTTCCAAGTACAGCCAATATATACAAAATGCGCTTACGTTTTGATGCTCCAACAGAGCATATCTTAGCATAATACATGAATGAAAAGGAGTAAAGAAGAATCAATGGTCTTTACAGTTGTTTTTACAAGTTCACAATCCAATTATAGTACTAACTACTAAGCCTAATGAACTTTATGGAATGCATCAAAGAATTTGCCCCTCAATATACCAAACCAATTGATCAACTTCTTATCAAATGAGGTACTCCAACTAGCGATCTTAGCTGGGAATTGGTCCATGTATCGCATCGAGCTATAGGCGACTCCACCTAGTATGCACCCGATTGTTGGGCCAACAACATAAATCCAAAGTCCTTTGTAGACGTGCATGACTACTGCTGGTCCTATACTTCTTGCAGGATTCATCGACGCTCCTGAAATAGTCCTGCAGTGTATATGTTAAGGTGAATTATTAGTTAAATGTATGTTTAGACACATAATAACTTAGGGAAAAACTAAGCAATTTGATAGAAACATACCCAGCAATCAAGGCGTTCATTAGTACTGTCATGCCAATGGCCACCCCGGCAAACTGGTTATGCTGTAACAGTGAAAAAAAAGTGTGTCAGCAAACAATGCAATGTAATTAACGGATGGCTAGTAGGGCGGGTTTGCCCGAGCCTTCCAGGCTCCAGCCTTAGGCCTGATTAGGCTAAATTGTAGATTCATTTGCTTAACCAGTTGAAGATGGAAAAAGAAACAGAATTTATAGTTTGTATGATTAGGAACAAACCGCTCTTTCGTCAAAGGCAGTGCCAAAAATGACAAACATGAGGATGAATGAAATAATGATCTCCATAACTACAGATTGAGCATCTGAACCAGAAGGAAGATTCCCAAAGTAAGCCTTAGGAGGTACATCAAGCAAAAGATATAAAGTTCCACTTGCAAGAAAAGATCCCAATATTTGAGCACCAATATAAAAGGGAACCTACATAAAAGTAGAGAAACATGTATCAGCAATCAAGAAAATCAAATCCCTATTCTTAAAATTTATCAGTGATCATTCCTAGTAAATTATCGAATGCTGAGTGAAAATATGATTGACCTGTTTCCAGGGAAATCTTCTGAGAAGAGCATAAGTAATGGTAACTGATGGATTAAAGTGGCATGATATATGCTCCAAAGTGTATACTACAATCATGATAATCAAGCCCCAAGTGAGACAGATTCCGGGGTAAGTCACTTCGCCTTTGGTCTTTTCCACTATAATTGCTGCACATCCTGTGAATACTATGAGGTATGTACCAATGAACTCTGCTATTAACTGCATGGCAACATGAAGCAAAATTTAGCTTCAGCATAATATCAATAAAAATGAGCCCTTACAGCATTGTATACAAGTCAGTGAGTCACAAGGCTATATATAGCACGGTGAGAGGAGGGCGTATTGGCCTAGGCTTCTTTTTAATGTGTTATATGTACAATAGAAATATACAATAGGGTATATGTTCCTAACATTAGAGGGTAACAATTTATCAAGGGAATTTACCTTCTGCAAAGTGGTTGCTATCACAACCGAGAAGCTTGAACTAGAGGATACACTATTGGTAGGCAAACCGGTGGTGGATTGATTATTATTGCTTGTGCCGCGGGCAGATCCTTCTTCCATTTTCGAGAGTTCACCATCATCCATATGGGCAACCTTTGATGACATAGTTTAATATATCTAGTTTCTAGTGATTGTAAGGTGTTTGAAATGTAACTTTAAAGAAGAGATGATACTTGTGTTTTGATATTGAATGATGAAAAATATCAGGACTTTTGTTGTATTTATACTATTACCATTGTACCAACACAAGGTGAGTTTAGGAAGTAGTCTTTTGTCTTGAAACCATTCTAAAGATTAAATATATAATTAGATCATCAATTTAATGGTGATGATAAATATGACAAAGGAAAACTGCGTAATGAAAAACCGGTGGTTTTGAGATTTTAACAAGACAAATACAAGGATTAGTTGCTGTTTTGTGATACGCAGGCGACTTGGTAATATTTTAACTCGTAAAACAAACTGTATATTCATTTTGTGATACTGCTCCACTTGGTATACAATTTTCTAAAGTAATTTTTTTACAAGGAAGTTGGGTTGATGGTGCATATGTGGGTGTACGTGTTTTTGGCCTTTTTTCATAAAAGTTGAACAAATCATATACGAGTACGTAGTATAATAAAAGTTGCAATTTCATAAATACTCGTTTTTGCAGTACTTTGTTTTTCATTTTTTTTGTGTAATGTGCGAGACAAAAGAAAATTCAGTGTTCCCCTTGAAAGGAAAAAAAAAAAGTGTATTTGGTACAAATACTAGTATATGAAATTCAATTTTCATTTTCTTAAGTGCAATAGTTTGAGAGGCACATTTGTCAAAGCAAAACCTTGTTTACTATATATCAACAGCATACTACATATTAACACGTGCTTTTTAATACTCCGTATAATAGTTTAAAAAAAAAGAAAAGAAAAAAAAATAAAGGTCAAATTCACTATGTAAATAGGCAAAATAAACTACGAGCAAAAAAAGAAAAATAATAAGTAGCAATTCAAAGTTTAGAAGTTAATCCTTTAACATAATCTGGTTGATAGGAGTATTATCTCACCGCTATAAAATTACTCTCTTTCGTAATAATCGCAACACTTTCATTTTACATCCGTTTCATAATAATTGCAACACTTTCTTATTTAGTAAGAACCCACTACTTTTTTTTTATTATTTCTCTCTCCTACCAATCCTACTTACACTACTTTTTTTATTATTTCTATCTCTTACTAACAATTAAATATGTTCCCACTAACTATATTTTACATTATAACATTCTCTTTTTGGTCTCACCCTGTAATTTTTCTAAAACTTTGTGCAACACGCCAACACCTAATGTTGCGATTATTACGAAACGGAGGAAGTAAGAGGTATGAATTTATGATTTTCTTATATCTTTTACATGTCCCTGTAGACCAAAAGAATAGTTTCTCTTAATGTAATATATAAATATGTATACTTAGGGGTCGTTTGATTGGAGTTTTTGAAATGGAGTTTAAATCCATTCCATCCATTTTGTTGTTTGGTTAGGCAAATTTAGGTATGGAATCTCATACCAAGGGGTTCTAATTCCACCCCATCCCCCTAGAATCCCATGCACACCTTACCCCTTAAGATTCACAATCCATTCATTTAATGAATTGTAAAAATCATTTCAAAGAATAAACCAAACAAATTTAGACAAGTATGGGGTTTAGAATCCATACCTCTATAGTATAAGATTACATATCAATTCATTCCGATTTAACTAACCAGACGACCCCTTAATGGCTACAATACTTATTTAGATACACAAGAACAATAATCTTGACTTAGCAAAACAACACAGAAGTTTCCTTTTCAAGGGAGGTGTTGATGATTGGTATCTAACTATAATTGTGTGGCTACTGGCTAGGCTAGTTAAATTGTATATCACAGATCATGTAATTGCAAAGAATATTCTAAAAACATTGTAACATAAGTCAAGACATCTAAGCTGTACCATACTTCGAGAGTATATATTAATGAAAGATATGAATTAGGACAAATTAGTATGGTGGCCTACTGCCCTTGATTAAATTGGTCTACTTTATTGGCCTTGACCATTGTTTACCTGCTTTGGCCTGGCAATTCTGACCCGCTACAAGGCAACTCGCTCATGACCCAACATACAATTGACCTGCATCACCTGACCTGCCTAATAGCCATGTCGACCTACTAATCTACTATTGACCCGCATCACCTGAACAGCCCAATAGCCATGTCTACCAACAAGAGTGTTAATGTTCACTCCACTTTCGAGCTCCATCTTGTGTCATTGAAGCTCAATCAATTAGTTCCCTGTTCTCTGTCATCTATGGTACCAATGAGGTGAATATTAATCTATAGATAATGGAAGCTCTTTATATTGAAGCAGCAAAGGCAATAACTAAGCTGGTGATTACGTGTCCTGTAGAGCAGGCAAAGCTAGCTTGGGGAATCAAGCACCAGTTACAGAAGCTGAAAGATGAATTCACATACATCCAAGCTTTTCTTCAAGATAATGATAGGTTGAATCAAAGACATAGAAGAGATAGCCAAATTGTGAATGCTTGGCTCAGGAAAGTCATAAATACTGCTTACCTAGCAGATGATGTAATGGATGATTATGTCTATGAAATCCTTCGCTGGAGATCAATTTCATGGGAATTAAAGTACAGCAACAACAATTATCAATCAGGAAGGAAGCTATTAGCACTTATAAAGCTCAAGAAGCGATCATTCAAGAACAAGTGTTGCAACTTCTCAACTCTCTCTGATTCTAATCCTTTAGCCTTCCGCTTTAGAATGTCTAGCAAGGTCAAGCGTGTTCTTAGGTCCTTTGATGACTTGTACAAGGATGCTAAAAGACTTGGTATTAGGCCAGCAGAGATAGCAGATGATGATCTACGAGGAGCTAGCTACAAAGGGATAATGAAGAGAAACACCAACAACAGCTTGGATGAAGTTCGAGAATTAGCAGCTGCACATAGGCTTGAATTTGTAGGGAGGCAACATGATCTAAAGGAGCTCACAAATTTTCTTTGTGATCATAGCAACAATAATGATGTCTCAACCATAGCCATTGTTGGTGTGGGAGGTACTGAGTACATCTTCGTCATCTTAAACTTGTGTTTTTCCTTTTCTCCCCTGATTATCTTACTCCTGCATATGATCATCCATCCTATAAAACTTGTAATTTTTCTCCTCTCCCCCAAAACCATATTTTAGTTGCTATCTGGTAACAATTCCAATCTAAAATTCTAATTCCAAAGTCTTCAAAGTTGTTCACCAAAGTAAAAAAAGAAAAAAAAAAGTCTTCAAAGTTGTGTAGTCTTTAGGGGAATCATCAGGCTAATAAAGTATAAGTCACCCTTATCAGTTCATACAGAGATCATGATTCTTCTCATCATTGCTACATTTATTAAATCTTATCTCTTAACTAAGACCATTATAATTAACTTAACATAAGAATAGATCACTATTAAATAGATGTCAAATAAATTCTAGTTACCCACAAAATTCAAAACACATAACAGTTGAACTTTTCAGTTTTCATGATTTTTATATAATATGAGCAGGCAGACCATATGATATCATATCTTGGAAATACAGGTCTAGGAAAAACAACATTGGCGAGACAATTGTATGAAAACGAAGCAATTGCTGAGCACTTTACAGAAAGATTTTGGATCTGCATATCTGATACCTTCACTGTGAAGAGGGTATTGTATGTGATGTTCGAAAAGCTTACAGGAGGGAAATGTAAGCTGTCAAATACAGAAGACATTATAGAAAGGGTTCAACAGCTTGTCAGAGGTAGACGATACTTACTTGTGCTTGATGATGTATGGGATCAGAATCAAACCAAATGGAATTCTTTCAAGAACTCCTTGCGAAGAATAGGAGGTGCCACAAGAAGCATGATTATAGTTACAACTCGCAACAAAGACGTTGCAAAAACAGCAGAGAGCCAACATATTCACCAGCTAACAGGGTTATCTGATGATGAAAGCTGGGCCTTCTTTGTGCAGAAGGCTTTCCCAAAAGGCATAGCAACATCTCACCCAGGACTTGAGGAAATCGGAAGAAAGGTTGTGAAAAAATGCAAGGGATTGCCATTAGCAATTGATGTGATATGAGGCTTATTACGAATGAAGGAAGATCCAAGTGAGTGGAGATCTATTGAGAAGAGCCCAATGTGGAGTCTTCCAGAAGAGAACAATAATATTCTACCTTCCTTAATGCTGAGTTTTAATAACTTGCCATCTACCTCTTTAAAACAATGTTTTGCTTACTGTGCTATATTTCCAAAGGAAGTTCTCATTGACCAAGAAGATTTAATCAATCTCTGGAATGCTCAGGGTTTCCTTCATTGTCATTCAGAAGGAAGAAATTTGACACCTGAGGAACTTGGAAGAAAATATGTTGATATATTGTTAAGCAGTTCACTTTTACAAGCAGCAACACGGTGTTCTATAGATGGTGATGTAACAGAATATCGTATGCATTATTTGGTGCATGATATGGCTCTTTACATCTCTAGACACGATTGGGTGATCTGGAAGGGGGTAGACAAGGTTGGTAATCCTTCTGGTGGTCGGCATTTAGCCATATTTCCTGAAGATAATGACATAACATCAGAATCTCCAGTAGAAAAAATGACATGGTTATGGGACTTACAGACACTACATTCTACTATTAGGTTGCCCATGGATCTTTTGGCACATGCCAAAAACTTGCGTGTCCTAAAATTAGCTGCAACTGGTCTAAAGAAAGTGCCTCCGGCTATTGGCAGGCTCAGTCATTTAAGATACGTAGACCTATCACATAATTCAATAGTTATGCTGCCAGAATCAATTACAAGCCTCTACCATCTGCAAACATTCAGGCTTTTCAGTTACAAGCTCAGGGAATTACCTCAAAAGTTGTATAGGTTAGTCAACTTAAGACACCTATATCTTACATCCCGTTCATGGTGCCTACCTAGAGGGATTGAACGGTTAACTGCACTCCAGACTCTACCAATGCTAGAGTTGAATAATGAAGGCTTTGGATGGGAAATTGGTGAATTGGGAGTTTTGGGTGACATTCATGGCCTCTTATCTATCTCTGGACTTGAACATGTAAAGAGCAAGGGAGAAGCTGAAAAGGCGGGCATACACAAAAAAAAGGGCATTTCAGAGCTGCAACTAATTTGGGGATGGGGAAGGGCTAGCAATCACTTAGAAGTATTAGATGCTCTCCAGCCTTCTCCAAATTTAAAACTGCTCATGATAACAGGTTATGATGGTCCAAATTTTCCTTCATGGATGAAGAGTATGATGACTTTGGTGAAGCTGGTACTTCAAGACCATTCTCTAATCTGGTGCATATTGAATTATTATATTGCAGAAGCTGCCAACAACTCCCTGCGCTTGGGCAACTACCATGCCTAAGGGATCTGTCTATGTACTCCATATGGTCTGTCACATCTATTGGGGATGAATTTTATCATTCTAGTAATGATATTGAGGACCGAGCACCAATTGTATTTCCAGCCTTGAAAAAACTAAATATACTTTTCTTTGAAAACTTAACGAAATGGGATCCCCCACCAAGTCGTGTGTTGGGAATAGAAACTAGTCTAGTAACACTAGCTACATCAGCCTTTCCCTTGCTTGAAAGGCTAAGGATTGAGCACTGTGACAAACTGGTCCTAACTCCTACCAGCTTCCCTTCTCTCAGGCATTTGCAGGTTGACAATGGTCTCAGAGGTCAAGCATTGTACAATGTTATAAGTGAAAGTAGTAATGCACTTACCTCAGTCAATATCAATGAGGCGCCAGAGCTTCATGATTTGCCTATATGTGTGCAAATTTATTTCACGATAGTTAGATACCAAAATCAAAGTGTTGATCATTTGCATATCATATGTATGAATGATCCTACTTCATCAACAAATATTTGGCCTGTGTGCTACTACAGATTAGCATGGAGACAGTATGAGAATTGTACTTGTAGAACAAAAACCCTTATTTTTTATTTTTTTTGGTAGTAGAATTAGAAAGGTTATCATTCATTGGATATGATGTTATTCATATGAACATGTTACGTGTTATGTTAGATAAACAACAAGTACCATTTTTCCACAATCACTATCGATATGCTATATTATCACTAAAAATCCACAAGCTTAGCTAGTGATTAGTAGTCCAAATATCATAATATAACTTGAGAAACACAACATCCAAAAAAAAAAAAAAAAAAAACTCAAAAGAGATTCATCAGGCTTGAGGATATGATCACATAGCAAGTTGAAATTAGTAAAACGAGCATAAAAAAAAAGTCTCATTCCTAAATGAATATGTCCCTAAAACAGAATGAATATATAATACCATCTCACATTTATAGGATATGCTATAAGACATTAATCTAAACTGATTCATTGTCTGCTGCAACTTATGAATATCTTGACCTGTTGGTATGACACTAATTCAATTTCTCCTCTGTGTACAACGACGACAGTAATGCATAGTAGCAACAATAGCTAACAAAAACGTTTTCATTAAGCTTGGGAAGCAACATACTCCATATAATTCAACAGCAAAGTCATATGTATTAGGATGAATACAATAAGATGGCACAAGCACAAAACCACAAAAATCAGCATATATTCAAATTATACATTTATAATCTAATTAGACATCTCATGTTTTATTTAGGACGTGCTTCATATTGGTAACGAGTTTTAAAGTAGCGTTTAGCATTTTTAACCCAATCAAAATGCTGACTAAAGTTGAAAAAATAATGTTATGAATAATGTTGTGGTTTAGGGAAGTTGTTAGACTTTGAAGTAAACTTTTTCCTGCTACTTTATAGTGAACCCATATATAAATAATTAATGCTAGTGGAACAATTACTTGCTAATACAACAACTAATTTTGTCGAACATTACCCTAGGCCCTAGGGTCATCAATTGCATAAAAATTGCTCATAAAAGTCACATCATTTCAAGTCATACCCCTATTGAATTACAACAGATAAGCACATTTAACCCTAATAAATCTAACTTGAGTAAAAAAATAAAAAAAAAATCCCCCTTTCAAAAACCTAAAATCCCAAAATAAATATAATAATGTAATTGGCTGCAATTGACAATATCGATGCAATTGATTCCATTAGTATTACAGCTAAATAGCTAAGATTATGAATTTATGTTGTTTGGTTTCAAAATACGAACATATTCATCACAAATACGGAATACTTAGATTATAATGTCCAAAAAAAAACCCTATTTAAATTTAAGCGTATCATAAATTCATAACAAAGAATTTGAAGAGAACATTCAGAATTTTCATCAACAAAAACAGTGAATTTACCGCTTAATTTGTGATGATAAACTCAAATTTGACCCTCAAATTCCAGAATTATTCATGTTGCCAGCAATTAAGCAACCTGTCGACTTGTTTACTTCGATTCGGGCGGGAAAAGGGAAAGAAATATGGGCCGCATTTCATACAAGCCCTGTCTGACATCGAAAAGGGTACGTACCCCACATAGACCAATTGTACTATGTGTATCATGGTGCATATAGAATTAGGTGCATATACCTTTGAATATTTAATAAAAAAAATTTGAACATTTTACAAAAAATGAACATTTAGGAAAAAATATGAACTCGTCACAAAAACTGAATGTAAACATGCAATTTTATATGTTCACATTTTATAAAGAAATGTTCATTTTATATGTAGTAAATGTTCGGTTTATATTACAAAACTATTGAATTATTATGAGTCAGACAAACTTCTTTCAAAAAATTGATCTTTATTATATAGTCTTGTATTTAATATACTACATGTTCAAATTTGCAATTGTTCAGATTTTTCTTACTAAATGTTCAAAAGTATGGGCATGGTGCATTTCGATTGTTAGATTTATCTATTAAATGTTCAAAATTTGCGATGTTCAGATTTTTTTACTAAATGTTCAAAATTTGCGATTGTTCAAAATTTTTTTACTAAATGTTCAAAATTTGCGATTGTTCAAAAAATTTATAAAAGTATAGGCGTGGTAAATAATGATTGTTCGGATTTTTTTACTAAATGTTCAAAATTTACAATGTTTAGATTTCTTTACTAAATGTTCAAAATTTGCAATTGTTCAGATTTCTTTACTAAATGTTCAAAAATATAGGCGTGGTGTACCTATTTCTAGATGCATCATGTTGCACCTTAAATTAAAATTTGCACCACATAGTCAATGACTTTCTTGTATTTCTATTGGCTGAAAATTTTGCCCCACTTTGAACCCACCTCAATATTTCTGAAATTTCAATTTGAAATATTTCGAAAATGAAAATTTGAATTTTACTGTATATATGGCAGTGAATGAGAGTAGGAAGAAGAAGACACCATATGGCAGGGGCGACGACGGTGCCATTTAAGGGGAAGGGGTGTTTCAAAGAATGGTAAGCAACAACGGTGAGCGAAATCAGGGAGAGTGAGGAGGTTCAAAGAAGAGTAAGCAACCAGGGTGGACAGAATCAAAGCCAAACTATGGTGGGGGTGAGCGGAAGAAACGGCGAAGTTCAGGTGGTTCACTTTAATGGGTTAAACGCATCATTTTAGCAGAAGAAACTTCAGTTAATTGTTAAGTTGTGTGGACATCATCATCTAAATCTAAAGAAGGGTTTAGGTCGAACGTATGAGGTTTCGAGGTGGGTGGTTCATGTGGGTTTCAAGGTGTGTGTTTAGAGATCTTGGCTTTGGAGGCAGGCGGTTAAGGTGGGTTTTCATTTGTATTATTTTAGTATCAAAAATGAATTAGTAAATGAAGTTTCAAAAATTAAATTGGTATCAAATTATTTGGTATGGTATCAAGTTTATGAATATTGTAAGTTGTATGAACATCATCATCTAAATCTTAGGAAAAGTTTGTCCGTTTCGGGGTCGGACGTATGGGGTTTCGAGATGGGTGGTTCAGGTGGGTTTCGAGGTGTTGGTTTAGGGATCTGGGTTTTTGAGGTAGGTGGTTCAGGTGGGTTTGGGTGGGCCTTGGCCGTCGGTTATGGAGGGAAAGAGAAAGGGGTTAGTGGGGAAAGAGGTGGTCGACCCCCGACGCTTAGAGAGGGGAAAAGAAAATGGTCTAGGCCGAGGGAAGTGGTCCATGTGGTGGTCGGCGGTGGATGGGGGTGGATTCACCACCAAATTTTTTACCGCTCATCTCTTCAAAAGCGGAAATCACTATGAAATTTACTGCTCATGCACATTTCCCGCTTAACCTTCTCCCATTCATTTTTGTAAATTGATGATGTGTCTTCTACCCATTGGATGTCTATATGGGGGATACAATGTATTATCAACTCCCGTTTGACATTCCTTTTTGCAGGATCAAAAGTTGGTTTGTTGTTGGGTCACGTTTAATAATTCAACTTATTTTTATTTATTTCATAAAAATAAATTCTCACCAGATAAAATAAAATAAAAATTCTGACACACTTTATTGTTATATGTAAGGTTTCTTTAGGGGGTGTTATATACCGCCATCCAAATTTATCAAAACCGTCGTCATTTCAAGCAAAAGGTCATTATTGCCCTTACTGAACCCTATTCCATTTTTTTCTCCCCTTTTATTCTCTCTCACCAAACACCCCAACCACCAACCTTTTTCCACACAAGCACCACAACCACATAGTAGAGGTTACCAACAACAGTTGGTGGCGGCGGCACGAAAGCATGCGGGCAGTTAGGTGGATGTCAAGAGGCAGCAGTTCATGTGGTGGAATGGGTGGAAAGGAGGTAAGTTTTCCAATGGAGTTTTTTTTTCTGTTTTATATATATATAAAACCGGTGGCTGGTCGGAGGTCAAAATCGGTGACTGGGACGATAAACGATTTTCAGCTCTGGTTGACCACTGTAATCGGAGGCCAAAACAACTAGTAACGTGGACAGTAACCGGTTTTTCAACTCCGATTATCAACCACAATTATCAGAGCCCAAATCCGGATACCGCGACGATTAATCAGTTTGTGGCTCCGGTTGACCGTTGTCAAATAGCGGTTTTTCCAACCAATCTAACCACTTCAAACCCCCAGGAAAAAAAGTTGTGCCCGCTGAAAAGCCGACGGTGGCATTCCCGATTCATCATTTTCCGACAAGTCACCTCGATCACCATCCATTTCTCGTCGACTTTCGCAGTCGTGGTGGCAGTCCGGTGTAGATGGTGTTAGTTGACACGGTGGTTGTGGGGTTGTGGTGATCGACGCAGGCGTTGGTCATACCGGTGTCGTGATTGGTGGTGTTTGACTTGGTTGTGGTGGATGGACTAATGTTAGAGAAAGAAAATGGGAAATTTTTTTAATAAGGGCAAGGATGTCTCTTTGCTTGAAATGATGGCAGTTTGATAATTTTTTATGGCGGGATTTAGCATTTCACTTTTTTTTTTTTATTTGAAGGGTCACTTTTTTATCACTAAATATCTTTAATTTTGTAATGAAAAATCTGTGAAAATTACATATTAAAAAAATACACATTATTACGAAAGACTCCAATTGATATAATTTTTTCTTTATAGACGATCGTACACATAAGGTTATTGGTTAAACTAGACCAATAAGGTGAACTAAACAAGCGCTTTTATTTTGTTGAAATTACTGTACTGGTGTACCCTAACAATTTTTTACTTAGACTTTTTGTTGATACAATATGGCAATGGTTTTTATTGGTTGTTAAAATTCATTCTTGTTATGATTGAACGATTTGTTACGTTATTTATCAAACGTTGTTAATGCTAAAATTGTTTTGATCTTTTGAGAAAATTTTGAAAAGATTGGTACTCGAAATGTAGCAATGTGTTTGAGATGAACTGAAACACGATATGTTCATTTTCATATTAATAAAGTTAAACCAGAGAAAGCTATATATAACTAGATCAAGTCCTAAAGACTCCTAACACATGATTTTAGCTGAATGCTATGCTCTTTTACAAAAGAGTGAGTCTATCATTATTCAAAATATTCATATTCCCAAAAGATATAGTAGTCTAGCTATATCTATCCAAACCTTGCTTATGAACTACAGAAAAGAGCAAACCCCATCACTGCAATTAACAATTAAGCTAAAAAATTGACCAAAATTCTAGAAAAATTACAACTAAAGGCAAAGCAAAGCCTTCAAAGCCTTGACATGGTCCTGAGAAAAGACGAACTTTTTGTTAACTCCCTAAGAGGTTTGTCCGTGAACCTAATGAGGTTATAAGTCAATCCTCCGGCAATAGTCCCAATTGGTGGTCCTATTATGTACACCCAAAGTCCTTTGAAGTTTTGCTTCATAACTGCGGGTCCAATACTTCGTGCTGGATTCATTGATGCACCCGAAATCGGCCTGTAACATTATAGTACTCATTTATCTCAGTAACATGACCATGTTGGACATCAATGTAAAGAGGTGTACGTGAAAACTTACCCCGCGACAAAAACATTTAACATTATAGTCATTCCAACCGCGATTCCAGCCAATTCTCCAATCTGCGATGCAAAAGGTTTTGTAATCTTATAAAAAAAAAAAAAAAAAAAAAAAAAAAAGAAAACGCCAAAACAGAGCAAATAATGTTAATTTTTGCGCGATTTACTCACCGCTCTAGAATCTGTTGCTACTCCAGAAATGACGAACATCAACAAGAAAGAGATGATGATTTCTATTCCCATGGATTGCCCATTTGAGCCTGCAGGAATGGTGCCAAAGTACGCATTTGGAGTAACATCGAATATGGCGCATAATGTACCACTAGCCAACATTGAACCCAAAATTTGTGCAATTATGTAAAGCGGTACCTACAACAAACATTAGTCAAGGCCCTCATGACATATGAAGAACGATTATATCTTTACTGAGAGCCTATTGCGTATACCCGGGTCATTTGCTCATTTAATTAACAAATGAGCAAAATATTATTTGTTCATTTTTTGATTAAATGAGTAAATGGCCCCGGGTGTACGGTACACCCGGGTGTATATAAGGAATTCTAATCTTAACTTGGCTAGAAATTTTGGATAGTCAAATCATTTGACTAGCAAATGACATAACGTGCCACATATGAAAGTGAGCACCAGGTCACTCCACATCTTTCCTACCCCTCCAAATCTCCGATTGAAATGTCATGTTTAACAAGAATACTCTATATGAAAAAAATCATGTTATATATACTTTCAATTTTTACCGATCGCTTAGCTTAAATTTGGATATTATGTCCAATCTAAAAAGAAGAAAATAGATACTAACCTCTTTATAGGGGAGTGGCGACAAATGGCAAAAGTAAGAGTAACTGCAGGATTAAAGTGGGCCCCCGAAATATGGCCAACAGAATAAACCATGACCATAACAATGAGACCCCATGTCACACATATTCCAGGAAATGTGACTTTGTCATCGTACAAATTGTTCACCACCACAGCGCCACAACCAGCAAAAATTACAAAGTACGTACCAATTGCTTCAGCCATCATCTGTAATAGCCAAAACCAGCCCAACAGAGAAATAAATCATGTTCGAATTGAAGTTAATCAATTCAAATATCTATTCAATACTAAATTAATAATACATCTAGTGTACAAGACATATTGATTTGCCAAATCAATAGGGACTTATAACAATATCTAATTGAAAAAATTTAATTAATCATAGATTTAAATATTGTGAATTAAATCCAACTTAACACTATTTTTACTTTCTTTTTTTTATTTTTATTTTAGGGAAAACACTATTTTTACATAAATGATGCTAATCACGTAGTAACGCCATTATGATATAGGAAGTATGAAACTTTACACATATTTAAATCAACAAGCTTGATTTCAGAGTGATTAAAATACTTTTAATCCTATAGTTTAATTTAATTCAACATGATACTACTTGTGTATATATATGTATATTAATGCTGAATAATACTTAATTGTAAAATTCCAATTAAAACATATAAGCCTATAACCTATAGTTTTAATGTCAAATTACTATGCAAATATGATGAATGATGATTAATTCACTAATTGACTAACCTTTTGTGCGAGACAAACCACATATGGAGAAGAACAAAAATAATGAAACTTATTAGAGGGAATTCCATTGCCTTCTTCAACCTTCAATTCTTCTTCAACAATTTCATTAGTCTTAGACATTGCTTAACAAAATAAAACAAAAAGATAATCTATAATTTTTTTATTTTTTTTGTGAAATCAAAATTTACGTAGTATAAAATTTAGGGATGAATGATATATAATATGATATGGAGTATCTCCTTTTTATACCAATAAATAATTATTTCTTTTTTTTAATGAAATCACTAAGTAGGGGGAAGAAATGGAAACAAATTATAATAGTAAGGTAGATAATTTTCAAAAAGAAAAGAAAAAAAATTAGATTTGAGAAGATTAATCCTAGTCATTGTTGTTTGGTTTAGAGAAAGTTTTCACCGTATGAGTAGGGAGTAAAGTAATCACTTCTTCTAAATTTCCTATAATTACCAGAGAATTCGGATACATATTAACGGCCTTTATCCAATTGTGGTTTAATTATGTCATCTAATCCTACCCATTAATTTAAGTTAATTACCGTTTCCCCAAAATGCTATGGAGTTTCAACCTATATTAGTTTATGTAATGTACTTTATAAACTTGTCTCGAAATGTCTAGTGCTTCGATTAAAGAATGTGTTAACTGAGATTATTTCGGAAAATCAAAGTGCTTTTGTGCCGGATCGGTTAATTACTGATAATGCTTTGATTACTTTGGAGTACTTCCATACTATGAAGAAGAGAAGCAAGGGCCGGAAGGGCCACATTGCTATGAAACTAGACATGAGCAAGGCCTATGATAGGGTCGAATGGGGCTTCATACGACAACTTTTATTGAAGATGGGGTTTGATGGGAGATGGGTCAATTTGGTGATGAAGCTTGTTTCCTCGGTTAAATACTCCTTCGTAATAAATGGGGAGGTTTGTGGTACGGTGACCTCCTCTAGAGGTCTACGACAAGGTGACCCCCTTTCTCCTTACTTATTTATTATTGTGGCTGACGCTTTTTCTCATATGATTCAGAGTAAGGTAGCAAAGGGAGACATTCATGGTGTTAAAGCTAGCCGAAGAGGTCCAGAAATTTCTCACCTTCTTTTTGCAGACGACAGTCTCCTTTTTACTAGGGCAAACCGGCGGGAATGCTCACACATTGTTGATATTCTCAACCAGTATGAAGCAACATCCGGGCAAAAAATCAACTATGAAAAATCGGAAGTGTCCTTCAGTAAAGGGATTAGAACTGAGCAAAAAGAAGAAATTTTGGGAATCCTGAAAATGAAGCAGGTGGAACGTCATGAAAAATACCTTGGTATACAGAGTATTTTGGGGAGGTCTAAACGGGGGGTATTCGAAGCTTTGCTGGATAGAGTATGGAAGAAGTTGCAAGGTTGGAAAGAGAAGTTGTTGTCCCAAGCCGGAAAAGAAATTCTTTTGAAGGCGGTAATTCAGGCGATTCCGACTTATCTCATGGGGGTTTACAAATTTCCCTCGGAGGTAATTAAGAAAATTCATGCGGCTATGGTAAACTTTTGGTGGGGCCAAAGTGACGGGAGAAAGCGTATTCACTAGAGAAGTTGGGATTCTCTATGTACCCTAAAGTGTTTGGGAGGTATGGGCTTTCGTGATTTAGAAACCTTCAACGAAGCACTCCTTGGTAGACAAGCATGGAGAATGTTAATAAATACAAACTCTCTCCTTAGTCGGGTGATGAAGGCTAAATACTTCATTAATACAGACTTCTTGGGGTCTTTCCTTGGTTATGGTGGCAGCTACTCGTGGAGAAGTATATGGGGGGTCAAAGGCACTCGTGAAAGAAGGGGTGTTATGGAGGGTGGGCAATGGAGATTGCATCAATATATGGACCGACCCATGGCTTTGTGATGACGAGAGCAGGTTTGCAACTAGCGCCCCTTCGATGGAGCTAACTAAAGTCAGTAAGCTAATAAATTTTGAAACCATGGCATGGGACTACGAAACTCTGCAAGCACACTTCAATGAAAGAGACTTAAGGAGCATCCTTGCGATCCCTCTAAGTCCCAAGAGTCCACCTGATGAACTGATATGGGCTTTCTCAAAGAACGTCATGTACAATGTGAAGACAGCCTACATGTCGGGAAAGGGTTGCGATCTTGACGATTTCCAGTAATCCCAAAAGCAAGGAACTTTCTGTGGCGCCTTTGCACGAACACCATCCCTATGCGTAGGCTATTGATGCACCGTCATCTCACTGAATCAGACCTGTGCCCTTGGTACGAGAGTGAAGCTGAGACATGGCAGCACGCTTTCTTTGATTGCGGGAGAGTAAAAGATCATCTCTGGTACAATATGGGCTGTGCAGAAATGAGGAAGAACGTAGACCTTTTATCTCCATGCGACCTCATCGAAAGCTGGGGAGAGATAGAAAGCGAGGTCAAAACTCGGGGCATCTACTTAATGTGGGGGATATGGCAGGACAGAAACATGAAGGTGTTCCAAGGGAAGGATGCCTCGAATGATATGCTGGTAGCTCGTGTCTTGAGATGGGTTGAAGAAAGTGCCAAGATAAAGAAAGCCTCCAAAAGAGCCATTGCAGCCAGCCCCTGTTCAAGCTCAAAACGTTGGATTCCTCCCCCACAAGGGTCCATTAAGATCAATACCGATGCGTCTATAACAACTGAAGGTTGGGTAGGTTTGGGTGTGGTGGCGAGAGATGAAAAGGGGGTGGTCTTGTTTGCAGCCTCGAGAAGAATTCACGCATGGTGGTCGGTTGAAATTGCAAAGGCAAAGGCGATCGTTTGGGCTCCAAGTTCGGGTACAGCAAAGCTATTATAGAATCAGATTGCCAAGTCCTAGTCACAAAACTTGCAAAGGAGGAGATGCATAGTACCGATTTGGATATAGTATTAAGTGATGCAATGGCACAGAGCACTCCCTATCATAGCTTGCAATGGAGTCATGTGAGACGAGAAGGAAACACGGTAGCTCATAACCTTGCAAATTATATTCCTTTCGGTCTAGAGCAAATTTGGGAAAATGATGTCCCTCCGATTACGCATGACCCCGTATGTACTTATGGATGTTGTTGCTATTTGATACATTAAATTTGCTCCCCGTAAAAAAAAAAAAAAAAAAATGTTAATTATCGTTTTTTTTCTTTTCATTCATGTTAAAAAAATTTTAACAAAAAAAAACCTAGAATGTATCTACAAGGACGGGATAAAAAAAGTGATACGAGTAGTTAGGCCTGATTCACTTCACCTTAAAAAAAAATATTCAGTAAAAATAATTTCAGTTTAGTAAATAAGTTCAGTTTAGTAAATAAGTTCAGTTCAGTAAAAGTAATTTCAGTTCAATAAAAATAAGTTCAGTTCAGTAAAAATCAGTAACTTCAAAGAAGAAATATAATAGACAATCAGTAAAAATAATTTCAGTTCAGTAAAATTAATTTCACTTCAGCAAAAATAACTTCAATTCAGTAAAAATAATTTAATTTCAGCAAAAAAAAATTTAAGTTCAACAAAAATAAGGTGAAGTGAACAAGGCCTTAGAATGTGTTCTTTTCACCTGATTTTTAGTTATCTTTTTCTCATATGTAAGCTTATCTGAATTTATCAAATTAAAATGAACTCAATGTTACCAAAACTTACCTTGTAAGTTGAATTATCTATTCACATGATATTCACTAGTCTAAATTTAACTGAAATTATCTGAACGTATAAGAAAGTAAAAATTATGTAAACTAGACATGACCCAACTCTTAGCAAAACATGCTTCAACTTATTTTTGTAGAATTATCTTGTCTAAACTAGATTTTCAAAAATGAAAAAGGTACATTTATTATTATATTATTGGTAAGTATATATATTTGTAACAATTTATTTCATCATGAATACTTTCATTAATTTGTTATTAAAGTAAAAGTAAAGTGAATCGAATTGAAGATTGAAAATTCAATAATTCATGGATGTGAGCTATAAACTAGGACCATTTTATGAGTAATGCCTAATTTTATTCGCATGATTTTCATTTATTTTGACTAAAAATAATTCTAGATATGAGTTAATAAGGGCTAGCTGAAATTCTAACAAGTTCAAATGAAGGAAAATTGTAATCGATAAAAGAGCCCACAACTTTCAGGTTTATTACTCCATCCATTCTTAAATAATTGACATGTTTGACTTTTTCACTATTTATATACTAACTTTGACCATCGTTTTCCATTAATGTATAAAAAAAATTATCAAGAAATATATTATTAAATAAATATTGATATAAAGTTTTATAACATCAACTTTTTAATATTTTTTTACTTCTAAAGTCAAACTTGTGCATTGACATGTATGTTAAGTTTTACACCCTCCGTTTTTAAATATTTGTTCCACTTTTCATTTTCGGCCGTTTTTAAATACTTGCTCCATTTCCTTATTTGGAAAGCTTTTACAATAATTAATTCATTTCTCTTAATTAATGGACCCAATATAAATCATATTTTATTAATTTCATATTCTCTCTCCTCCAATTCTCTCAGCTACTTTTGCTTTTTACAATTTTTTATTCTTCCATCTACCCCACTATTTCCATATTTTATTACTTTTCTCAATTAGTCTACAGATATTGTCTGTTGAGTAGTTGAGTTTGTCCTTTTGTCAGTCATCAATCTCGAAGAGAAAATACTGCTTGTGAACTAGAGAGGGATGGTGCCATGGTGGTCCATATAAGAACATGCTAACACCTTCCCCTACTTGAAACAAGACATCCATGAAGTTTGGGAGATCTTATTAGTTATCACTTCATTTATTTGGTCTTGTTTAGTATCAAATACTCGACATGGTCCCTCCATTCAATCCAAATAGAGGAAGGTACATTGTACATAAATAGCTTCTTCCTTTAAGTTGTTCAATACATTTGGACGTCTAGGCATACAGAATGTTATACCTGCATATCATGTATCGGCGCGTGCATGACACACACTAGACGTTTGTTACATGTGATCTATGCATGTCATTTACATGACATTGAAGTGCAACTTCCTTTAGATACAACTATTATACAAGAATCATTGTGGGGGAGCAATCATGCAAAGCACATACGTTACTTATTTCACTTTCTTTTTACGGAAAAGCAACATGAATTGACATGGTTATTACAACCACTAATCTTTCTTGGAAAATGATACTCCTATGTAATGTAATGACCCATGAGAAAAGCAAAGTTCCTCAATTTAATAAAGAAAAACGCACAATTTGGAAGAGGACAATAATAATTGAAGAGAAAAAGAATGGAGGATAATAGAAAATAAGCACCTTCCGCTATTATGTATCAAGTATGATGTGTATGTTAGTCAAATTTATGCTACCTCTTTTCTCTTGGGTGGGGTTTTGCATATTCCTCCCAAAAATGTGCACCAAATACAAAATCTTTCATTGCCGACAATATACAAGGATTTCTGAATTTCAAATCTTATCTATAAGCTCACATCATCAGCAATGCAAATCCAGCAAGTTCATATCCGGACTCCCGACCACCTGTTACAGATATCGCTATATCGGGGTTTTTATGAAGTTATAATACGGATTAATGCAGCAATAATTACGTGATCTGGAACTACCACATCATCTGTGGTACCAGACGGTATTAACAGATTGACTGTGTAAACCACATCCGTAGGTGAGAGTAACCTTGAAACTGCGGCTACCATGTAACGTCATTTAGAGTTCTGTTTAGAAGCCCAGAATGTCAATATTCACAAATATCAGCAGTTAAAAATGGGAAATTGTAAGAAAGGCATATTAAAGATTTTGGTTTCAGAATAAACATTACATGATTCATTTAACAGTTTCCTTTACAGAACAATAAACTACTTGAGAAATAGAAGGGTTTTTTTTTTGTTTTTTCCTATTTTTATCCCCACCATATCAACCAGTCACTCGATACCATAGACTATGGCCTGGACTGGCATTTTCCATTGTATGCACAGCAGTATTACGAACTTTCTCATTTGGCCTAATTAACATATTTCACAAAGCTTACCAAGAAAAGCATATGGTAAAAAGCATGTCCCGAATTGAAGAAGAAAAAAAAGAGAGGCTATAATTAGTTTATCATATGATGATTACTTGGAAGAAACTTGAGAGGCGCAACTGGCAATAGACAGATCAGAAGGGGTGCATACCAGAGCCCTTTGCTGCAAGTGTCTCAAGCTTTGCTCCATGCTAACTTGCACCATATCAGCGAGCATCTTCTTTGCCTTTCCCGACTGTTCCTCACCATCCATTTGCGAGATGATGTTGCAAACAATGTTCTCCAAAGTATCAGGTTGGAAATCTGACCTTGGGTAAGGAGAGTCTCTAAGCAGTCTCAGCAACAACTGAGCTTTGTTCTGTGACTTGGGAGTCCCTTGAACAGTAAGTTCAAGTAACCCAGGTATAACCCCTTCTCTCAAGATTGGATCCCGGTACTTGCATCGATCTGTCTCACACATTTTTAGGAGTGCCCCAACAGCATGCTCCTTACTCTGAAGAGATCCACTTTCGAGGACCTCCACCACTGCAAGCACACCTCCTTCTTCAGACACTAAAGTATTCCTACCCTCATCAAAGTTTACAAGAGATTCTAAGAGGGCTGTGCATTTTTCAGCCGTTTTTGAGGATTTCTTGCAAGTTTTGAGCAAGTCAACAATGAGAGGTATGGGGTCTGTCTCAAGGATTAGGGTGATGTTGTTTGAGTGAGTGGAGAGGTTGTAAAGAGCCATGACAGCATCAACCTTAGCTTGTGGGGTGCCGATTTCTAGAACATCTACCAAAAGAGGGATTGCACCAGAAGCAGTAATGGTTGGCTTGTTTACTGAAGATGCAGAAAGCGTTAGCAAAGCAGCAGTAGCATGTTCTTGAAGACGTGTGTTTGGCGATTGGAGGAAGCTGATTATTGGATCTAATGCACCTGCTGCAACAATGCTGATCTTGTTCCTAAGAAGCAATAAATTCAAAGCTGTAATCAATAGGCTGTTAAACATACATATGTACAAATATTAAGTTGACTAAAAATCCACTGAAACGTCACAGGTTATAGACACATCAAAACAATCGTTTACTGGACTGATTGATTAAGACATGCTACAAAAAAGTTACTAGCATAAGATCTTACGGAGTATGGAGAATATCCTAGCTACTAAAATTGGCTCAACAGGGAATATAGCAAATAGATTTAAATTTAAATTTTGTTATTCTAAAGTGAACAAAGGATATGGCACCGCCTTGTCTGTCAACGGGAGATGAAAATGGTAGTATTGGGCTCTATTCTATTTCAAGTGCCGGGGTAAAAAAAAAAAACAAAAGACTTCTGTTGAGATTATAAGTTCTACCCTACTAACACATGATCCTGATAAAGATAAAACACTGATACTTCCGGTTGAGATGAAGCGGACAACCTATTCAACTAACATAACTTCATTTTCATCTGAAATCTGAATTGTAGAACTATACAAGGGTCACACCTAGAAGTTTAGAACATTCGCCATAACTCATACGGTTGTAAAAAGTCATACAAAAGGAGAATATTAATCTTGCGATTGCTTCTTTAACTTAAAAAAGATAATAGTACAATATGCTAGCAACATGCATACCAAATGGGCGAATAATCCCCAATAATACTATAAAATGCAGACTACTACACATTAAGTGATTAAACACTTCTTAATTCTTCAATCTTAACAAACAAGTTACTGCAGACTAGAGAAAGATCAATTTTGCTTTTCAGCAACTGCAGTAACACGCAATGTAGATTAATTAATTCCTATATTAGGATATAATCTGTATATACAGATTAAAAGTGACAAAAGTCTTAAGCAAAGTAAAAACCCAATACAAAAGTTTAAACAGGATTTACTTTCCAAATTAGATTATTTAATTTTTCTTTATGATGTTTCTTTGCAATGGAATCCATCCACGTGACCACATCACATGATAATAATAAAAACAAAGAAACTGTAGTATTTTAGAATAAATGGAAAAATCTAGAAAGAGAAAAAGAAAAGAGCATAAACATCATGATCTAAAGAATCTGGCTATCCATCAATTTTAGCAATTTTGATTTGCAATATGAATATGAATTACACATAATAAATTAATGTGAACTGGGACAATTTAAGAGTTTACCGCACTCAATATTAGCAACATATCCATTATGTTCTCGAATTACACCTCACAAGATGTACACGAGCCTTTTTTTGTTACTCGTCGGGGCTACTTTTATGCAAAATTAAGTTTCAATACACCTAACTCAAGGTACACTAGGGAAATCCAGTGAATTATTCCCAATTGTTTAATAATTACTGTCACTTCAAGAAATTGATATTGTTCAATTATATAAAGAAAATTCTCTTTAGCCTAAGATTAGTACAAGCCGCAAACTAAGACTTTTAATCTTTAATACTAGTACAAGTAATTTAGTGCTTTGGATTCGCTGACCAAAATACAAATATATAGACAGAAAATTCAGTAAATTTGATTCCTAAGAATAATTCGAAACGAAAATGATCTACACCAAGAATTTCAATTACCTAAGAATATTCTCATTTTTTAACAAAATTATCCAAAACCCAATAACATTCATAAAAAAATCTCCCAAATTTGAAGAGTAATTTCACTAATCACAATCAACCCCACTTCAAATTAATCAAGAATCTTAATCCATAATCACCCATATAACCAATTTAATCAAAATTCCCCAAATTACCCTAAAATGAACCAATAAAACCAAAATTACCATCATTTTACAGTAAAACACCAAAAATGAATAAACAACTATAATAGAATGAAACCCATTAAAGTATTAACAAATTCAATTAAAACCCTTAACAACCCAGATTATAAATTAATCAAATATCAAGAATAATCAAAAACAAAAACCCTAAAAAGACACGATCTTTCCCAAAATCCAACAACACCAACAACCACAATCAAAATCAAAAAATTAAAAAAACAAAAACCCAAATAGAGTGACTCACTTTTCGTCCTTAACGGCGAGATTAAGAAGAGCGAGTAAAGCAGACTCAGTAGAAGAGAGTGAGTCAACTCGGAGCATAGAAACGAGTTGAGGAATAGCAGGGGAAAGTTGGCGACGACAACGGTGAGAAGTTTTAGTGAGACGACGGATCTCTTGGGCAGCTTTGATCTTTGAATCTGAGTCGTCTGATTGAATAAAGTCAAGAACTTGATTTACACTAAGGTGGGTTGCGGTTGCACTGGATCCCCCCACCACCCCAGAAAAATCCATTGATTTTTTTTTTTATTTAGGGTGGGGGTGTTTGGGGGATAAAAGGGGTGGGATTAAAAAGAGGAGAAAACGTAATGAAAAATTGAGGAGAGAGAAAGAAGGAGGAAGAAGAAGAAAGAAGAAGGAGGCTTTAAGCAACAGTTGATGAGGAGAGAGAAAATGAGGAGGTTTTAACGGCTCCTTCGGACGACAGTTGGGGGGGAGTTTTAGATTTTTATTAAAAGAAATGAAATGAAAAAGGATGTTTGATGTTTGTATTTGGTGTGTGTTTGGTAATTTGGTTTGGTTTGGTAGGAGGAGAAAGAAGGGGGGATATACTAAGTGACGAAATTAGTGAGGTGAGATTAATTGGGTTTAAGTTTTGGTTTATTATAATCTTTTGATTTGTCATGTCTTTTGAGTTTTAATACCGCTCCGTAGTATTCTAGTGGTCTAGTCTCTAGTGGTAGTCTTAAAAGATGACACAAGTTGGATGGATGCAATGTGACACTAGCCGGATAGGTTCGAGGCATAGTCAAGGAGAGAAAAGATATTACACGGATTGTTACTATGTTTATCAGGTTATGCATCTTTTATTAATCTAGTGTTTTAGTGATTCAAAAATATGTTAAAATAACTCTATATTTGGTATTGACATGTTAATTTGACATAGTGGTATGTAGTCATGTTTCATTTGGGTTGTGTTTAAAGAGCATGGCACGAGACTATTGGGTTGGGGCCTAATCAGCCCTTAAATTTGTCAAAACATTGCAATTAGACCTAACTATCATGAGAATTACGACTTCATAATTTTGTAGGAGGATGAGGATGGGTAGTTTGGCTTTACGGTTAACTAAATAAGATTTTAATTCTTATCCAACCTTTGTGTCTCTCTTTTGGCCAAGCAAAACTAACTATTGTTCCCCTGATTGGTTTTTAGATGCATAATCTTGCATAACACGTACTTCTAAATTCTCTATAAACTCATTCAATTTGTGATATCTTCCAACATATTTACAAGCTCTCTAATAAAACTTTCTACTAATTTATGTATCTTCTTAAATGATTACCTACTCCCTTAGATTCTCGTGATATTGTGGAAGAACTAGATTGGTAGATATCTCTAATCAATCAAAATCTCATTCACAATTATAATTCTTTTATATAATTAATCGTCACGATGAGACTCATATCTTTTAATTGCTACGATATACCATTCACAAGTCATCTTATGCATTCAAATAATCAATTAAAGTAATGATGAAAAGGTATGTTTCTTGTTCCAAAGCACAGTAATAATTAAAACCGTTAAATAAATTGGTCTTTTCTTATTCAATTAATAAATTAAAATCTCATTATCAATTAATCACTTTGTCACTTTTTTCATAAACCTCACTTGATTATGCGAATAGTTACACCATTCATTCCTAATCCTATGAAAAAATCAGTCTAATCCTACCTAAAGTTGACTGATGTCCATTCAATTTCTAACTTATTTAATTTACTTTTCAATTTTACATCCTTAGTAAAATATTCTGTATTCTTCTTCAAGTTAAATAAGAAGGTACACTTTGACTTTTGGTTGTTTAATTAAGTCAACTAGCCTGGTATATTAGCTAACATTCCCCTGGAATTCCAAATTGCAAGTGGGGGGCTTAGCAGCAAATCACAGTCGATCTTCAAAATGCAAGTGCTTTTTGATATTTTATTTTATAAAATACTTTGTATTATACAGTGATAATTTAATACAAGATCAGTTATATACGGAACTGGTTGATAGCATTATTAGTCCGTGTTAAACTAGTAAGCTAGAATTATTGGAGTTTGCTTCAACCCGTGTAAATGGGATCGAATCTGTATGATATCTCACTGTATATATGGTGAAGGGGGTTTGAGATTTGTGCGTCTTTTCGTTTTGGACAGTGTAATCGCAAAATCATTTATATGTATGATTGTTAGTGTTTCGGGTGAAAACAATGGGACCTTGCCGAAGGTCCGCTGAAATGGAGAAGACTGGATTCGGTCCAAGTTGTGTTGGGCCGAAGGTTTCCTGCACAGTGAACACACGTAAACTAGCCTCGGGGGTGTTTCCGAGGAAGGCCCCTCCGATGCTAAAGTCAGTACAATGTGTAAAAGGAAGACACTCTGCAAGAGAGTTTGTAGCTTGAGGCTTTTGTGGAATATTTCTGAATGCAAGAATGAGCATATGACTTAGAATTTTTTTATATGAACGTGAATATGATGGCTTTTATACCTCATCATACTTGGTGAGATTGGGCCTTAGCCCAATTGGCATGTTTTGTGGGCTGACCTTTGACTTTTGTGCAATTGGAGAGTTGAACCTTGACCTTGGGCTTTTAATTGGATCATTTAGTGCTTAGGCCCAATTTTGACTAAATTGGACCCAAACAACTTGCCCCCCAGACCCGATTTGGAAGGATGACGGGTCGGGTTTGATTTAATTCAGAAAAGGAGGGAAGTAAATGATTTAATTGATCCAAAAATTTGAATTTAAACCGTAATTAATGAGATAACAACGGTTAATGATTGCGGAAGTTGGACGGATAATGGGCAGTTTAATCACAAGACATGTGTTTAATGGTTACTTAGTGGGTATTTAAGAGAAATTAAAGCACAGACTCTTCGTATCCCGTACCTGGAGATATAAACAGAGGCGCGTCATTCTCCTCACTTATTCACCAACACAAACCCAGAATTCCTCGAGAGAGAAACCAAGAACCCGCATCAAAACTTCGCAAATTCCCCGAGCATTGAGCTTAGAAACTGAGACTTGCCACTACGAACTCGTAAATCGGCAACTTTCGCTTCAGATTAAGGTAAATTCCTTTGATTTCAGTTTATTTTTCTTCGAATTCGAACTCCTTCCCCTTTTCTTTCGACTTTTCTCTTCGAAATAATCAATGGCAAGAGGAGTTAGAGGTAGAGCCCGTGCTCCAAGAAGAGCAAGGCCGATTCCCGATCCTAGGAACAGGATTGGGACCTGGAATGGTCAAAGGCCGGAGTCTGACCCTGCTGAAGGGATTAGGGCGACTCCCCTTTCCTCGGCTCCTCCTCAAAGAACGGATGAGCCGAGCGCTTCTGGACGGGATGATGAAGTTCCCGCTGTACTTTGGGATATCCTCCCTGGGTTTTCAGAGTGGGAGAATGCCGAAGTCGTTTCGGCCATGATAAAGAACCGCCCCTACTCATGGTGGGTAGAGAACGCCGATCAATATCGATTTGCCGAGCAAATTGAGTTGCATTACGGCATTTTTGAAGCTGATGGATATTGGTGCCGAATGCCCTCAGCATCCGATAGAATCCATCGTCCACCCCCGGGGTATGTGGGGGTGTACACGAGACAGCTTCAGTACGGGCTGAGGTTCCCTTTGGACGTTTTCGTCCGAGACTTGCTGATCCATTACAACATCTCCCTATGTCAGCTAACCCCCACCAGCATCCGAAGGGTGATGACATACCTATGGGTCTGCAAGTTCTTCAAGTACGTGCCGAACCTGCACTGCTTCAGAAAGCTCCATCGGCTAGTGCCAAATATTCAAAGTGGGCACGGAAGCCATGGTTCTGGGTCGTACCGGATTGAGTCCCGGCCCCAATACTTGACCATGTGGCCAAACGACTCTTCAGACAAGGACTGGAGAGGTCAATGGATTTGGGTTAGGGCACCCACAGACAAGGACTCTTCAGCGCTCCCCGGTACTTAGCTGAGCCTGATCCCGAAATGGGAAGTCTAGGTCCCCCCGCAGATAACGGGGCGGATCCGAACCTGGATCAGCAACATATCTTCGGCAAGCTGCCGAACCCGGGGGGGAGTGGTCGAATGCAGCATATCCCGGAGACTTGGCTCCCCGATACGCATTACGTTTTCCAAGAGAACATGCTAGCAGCTGTTGGCCTCAGCCGAAAGTTTAAGGATGGTAAGCTTCTTCGGCTGGGGCCGAGGCTTTTTAACTACCTCTTTTTCTTCTCTCGCTTTGCTTTTTTTATGCTGTGCCGATATATCTGAGCTAAACTTTCCCCTTTCCTTTTTTCAGAGCGGGACGAGACCAACGTTGGCATTAACTACGCTCGTCTTGGTGTTAACCGAGAGCGAGTTGTAACTGAACGGGCCCCGTCTATCACTGAGCCGAGGCATAGGGAAGTTCATCTGGACTCTTCCCACTTCCAAATTGAGGCTGTTGCTCTGTATCAGAGGCAGAAGCCTTGGTGGAAGAAGAGAGACCCTTGGTTTCAGCTGCTGAACGAAGAAGCTGAAGCCGCCCGCACAGCCGAAGAGGTTGCACGGGTACTCGAGGCTTGCGAAGGAGGAGAAGGGTCCTCCAGAGCTGCTGAAGCCGAAGCTGCAGCTAGAGCAGCTGAAGAAGACGAGGCTTTGCTGAAGACCTCGGTGAGCTTTCAGACAACTTTTTCCTCTTCTTTTTTTTTTTTTTTTGTTTTTTTTTTTTTTCACTTTCTTCTTCCCCCCTGTCTGTTACAGTCTGAAGAGAGTAACAGACACAGAGAAGGCAAAGCTCCTGTTCGTCCCGAAGACCAAATACAAGAGTCTTCAGACTCAGATATGGACGAGCAGCCCCTTCTGAAAAGGCGCCGAAGGATGGCCATCATCGGCCCTCATGACTTTCAGCAGAGGCCGATGACCATCGGCGTCGCAATAAGGGAACCTGAGGAAGGCAATGGATCGCCGAGGGTTCCCCAGCCAACACCCCAATCTCCTCAAAAGACCCCTCCGCCACCTCCTGAGATGGAGGTGGATCAGAGAACTCCCGAACCTAAGGGAGGGGTCCAAGAAGAAATGAAGAAGAGTGCTGATGAGCACGAAAATAAGGATGCCGTGATGTCCAGCGCTGAGGGCTTCACGGCAGACATCGCAAGAGAGGTTGAGGCTTTCGTCCTCACCCCTGAAGAAGAGGAGGTCATAGTAATTGACTCCTCTGAGAAGGATGATGCTGAGACAACCAAAGCTAATCAAGCTCCATCGTCATCCTTCCCTTCTTTCCAGACTCTGCATTCTGGAGAAATGGGTTTCTCGGCCCCCGAATTCCAATCCCAGACCACATCTGGGACCTCATATGGGGTCAAAACCGAGAAGGAGCTGCAGCCTACTTCGGCAATTTTGCTGGCATGTCCGAAGTAGACAGGGCAAGGATCTGGTCGCTGAAGGCCACTGCTGGGATGGGCGAATCCAGCAGATCAGTTCCTGACCCAGCCAGGTCTAACCAACTGCTGATGATGCAGGTAATTTTCCTTCATTTCCTCCGAAATTCAGCTCGTTATATATATATATATTTTTTTTTTTTATTTATTTTTGTCTTCCTGTTTTCAGTTCGTGCACAATCAGACTCTCACTGTAGAGCTGATAGATACCCTACA